ACCACTTTCTTTTCCATTATCCTTATATAACTCCAATAGAACCCCTGAACCATATAACCCCTACATAACCCCTAAACCTTCTAACCCCTATAGAACCCATAAACCGTAGAACCCGTGTGTAACCCCGAAACCTTAAACCCTGAGAGCCACGAGCGGCCTCTCCTGGCCTCGGAACTTTGCAGCTACCAATCCTCATAAAGTTTAGGGCTCTATAGGGATCATGGAAAAGAACATGGAAACTACTGTAATGGGGTTAGATCGGGTTTAGGGTTCAGGGTCTTAGGTTTTGGGTTCAGGGGTTTAGGGTTTGGGGGTTAGGGTTCAGGGTCTATAGACTTGAAGTGTTTTTTTCTTCAGGGTCTAGGGTTTCGGGTTCAGGGTATAGGTATAGGCTTTCAGTTTTTATGATGCTTTAGTGTCTTGGCTTTTGGGTCTAGGGTTTAGGGTTCAGTCAGTAAATTTAGAGTTTAGGGGAATACGTTCAATCGCCATGGACTGTTGTCCCGAACCATCAACGAATGAAGATGCATGGAAGAGTGTTGAATTCAACGGCTTCCACATCATTCGTCGCCATGTGGGTTCAATAGATTATTATCCGGGATGACATGGCATCCCCACAATATGAATCATCAATGTCTTGAAGTAGCAACGTTAGCCTTGGCAGGATATCCCTCGCCATGTGCCCAATAAGCTTTCAAGCAGAAAAGAAGAGAGCTGCGGCTTCAAAGGGAGCACAATGATTTTTGAATCTTCCAGGGGCTAAAGAAGATGTTTGTGCACGTATTTCCTTCAAACCCATCCCCCGGGCACCAAACCGGCATGCCCTCTAAAGCCAAAACCGCAATTTCATTCCCCAACCGGAAGCCCTAGGCTTTCAATGCCAAGCCTGAAGCCATTGACCTGAACCTTCACGCCTTGGACAGATCTATGGCATACCTGGCTGGTGACATTGCCTTTCGCTTAGCCTCGGCCGTGGGGGAGACCGCACGGACGCCCAGTATTAATCGCAATAACTATAGAAATAGTGTTAATATTAGTGATAGTCATTATAGTAACAATAATGATAACAATAAAGGAGGTGCTCGAAATTTTGTGGTCTCAGGTTTCAGGTGGGTCGGGCACATACATGGCTTGCTAGTATACCGGGCTACGTAGTCATCATATTGAAGGGAGTTGATGATGTGTTCTGGGCTTGCCATACAACAGGACGACAAAGTGGCACAATCCAGAAATGAAGGCAAGCATGCATCGCTCTCTAGAATCCTCCTTTCGAGCTCTTCTGTGGTAAGGTCTTTCGGGCTGGAGGGCTGAGAACAAGTTTTTCTCAGGTTTTCCTCGGGAACCAGCGGCCTTGGTGTCTCAACCCGCAAATTGTGACTCCAAACCTTACACGTACTATAGTCGAAACTCCCTAAAGGGGAATCTATAGGGATTATATTGGGGACGATTATATCGGGGTGATCAAGGGGGGTATTACCGTAAACCCTAAACCTAAAGCCTAGAAGTCTAGACGATAGCTCGCAAGAGCTGCCACAGTTATTTACGTTAGACAGCAGAAGACGAGCCTCATTTGTAATCCCTTCCCCCTAATTTTGCGCCCCCCCACCCCCC